GAACAGGCGGCTGCACGCAACACCTGTCACGCCCGGATGCAGGTTTCTGCCCAGACATGCGGGCTGTACTGCTCTGTGCGTCCGTGTGAATGAGCTCTAAAAGCTGCCTGATGCAGTTATTGGTATGCTGTCCCTTTTCAATCATTCATTTCTTTATAATATTTGGGCTGACCTGAATACCAAAACCAAAAAAGGAACCAGCAACCACAACCAGGCAACTCCTTCCACAAGAGGGATTCATTTTCTCATGCAGATAGCAGCTCCCTCCAGCCAGAGCGAGTCTCTAATTGGCTCCGAGGCCAAGCCATAGAAAGCTCTGTGAACATGCTGTCGGCAGAGAGGGAGCAGCGCCAAAGCTTTATGAAGGGCCATTGCAGGTAATGAGATGTTCAGGCAATGTGTCTAGTTTATAGCTGAACTCCAGGCAAGCAGCTAAATACACAGCTGAAATATAGCTATGGGAGCTATTGTGCCTGCCAAAAAAAAAGATTTGTTATTCTGCGCAGCCAGTTTTATGATCCAGGCATCACTGCCAGACAGACAAAACTTCCAGTGCCAACGCAGCACAGCTTGGTTAATGCCAATAGATGAAGGCCAAACCGCAGCTTGCTGAATGATCAATGAAGCAGCATCATGATCATGTCATCCCTCTGCATGCTCTGCCCCATCAGCACATGTGCACTACAGCAGCCCCTGACTGGCTCCTAATGCCGACACATCCGCTACCCGAGTGCTGCTGTGCAGGAGATTACAGGAGACCGAGATCAGCACAAAATCAGACACTATTATTAGTTGCTTTTAAACATAGTTTCTAATTATTCATTTTTATATGTACGATATATAACGTGTGGCGCAATCGCCATTTTCACACTTAGGCGTACCCGACGCATGTTTGTGTGTGTATGTGGGGGCAAGGGACTTTTTAAAAAAAATGTTTTGTTTTTTTTTAAATATTTGACTTTACATTTTTTTTTTTTTACATTTTAGAACGTAATTTTATTGCCATCACAAAGGGGGCTAAGAAGCCCCCTATGTGATAGCCAATTTACACAGACAGGTCCCCTTTATGGAGACATCATGGATCTCTAGGACCCTTAATGGTCACCTAGGGACCCCCAAAGAAGGTGATGAAGCACAGATCTGCTACACCAGCTTCTCTCCAGCTATAGAAGATGTAGAATGACAGCTGAATGCGGAAGTGATGTAATATACATCACTCCTGCATTCAGAGAACGAGGAGGATATCAGCGGGAGATCATGTGATGATCTACCGCTGAGCTCCAGGGATAAAACCGCCCTGCGGGTGGCGAGCCATCACCGGACACAACGGGGACCTGGGGGGGCGCACACCCGCACGCATTATACAAGCACACACACACCTCTCTCTCTCTCCCTCTCTCTATATACACACACACAGACACACACACACACTTTCTTTTATCTGCCAAAAGACTTCTATCCATGCGTTTCTAAGACATACACAGCTCTGCAGCACAGCACAGTCTTGTCTAGCAGGACAGTAGACCTGATTTTTCTCGGTTGCAATTTGCAATTACTCGATTGCAGTTACAATTACAGGTCTTGTACCTCCCTCTGTGACTGGACAGTAAAAGAAGAGCAGCAAACTGGTGAAATTGTCTCCGTCACTCTGCTCTCTCCTATTAGCATGGTCCTTTTTTTTTAAAGAGATAAGAGACTTCATTGTTGATGAATACACGACACAGCGCTATCAGCATGCTCCTTGTTAGCACATGAGCACTGCAGCACAACTGACTGGCTCCCTGTGCTGCTTCTGCCAGTGTGAGCTCTGCTGTACAGGGCTGATGCCGGATCTAATTCAGGCACTTACACTGCTTGCATTTAAACATACAATTATCGATGTGTTAATGAATCTAGAGCTACACAAAGCTGTGTCTAATATCAGCTTGAAGTTAGACTTTAAAAGAGGAACTCCAGCAATTACTAAAATTAACCCTTGCAATGGGGCTACCTCTGCAATTCCAGGGTTAACTGCTTGTTTTGGTCTAGGGCAGGGGTAGGCAACCTCGGCTCTCCAGGTGTGCTGAAACTACAAATCCCATAAGGCATTGCAAGCCACAGGCATGACTCCCAGAGGCAGAAGCATGATGGGATTTGTAGTTTCAGCACAGCTGGAGAGCCAAGGTTGCCTACCCCTGGTCTAGGGGCTGGATTACAGAAGATATATCTACCTGATCCTCGATGCCGCATGGCTGCTAGACTGGTCCCTGCAACCTCTTCTCCCCTGTGCTTCAGCATTTATAAGAAGTTCACCAGCACTCAAAGGATAAGTCAAATCCTTGTGTTTATTTATTAAAGAAAAGCGTCACGTGCATCAAATCGCCAATGTTTCGGGGCCACACACGTGGTCCCTTCATCACGGCAACATAGGGGCCATCCGTGATTATCACTACGAGCCCTACTGCTACTAAAGGTCCTGATTGCTGTAAGGAGTGCAGGGAATACATTGGTATACCACCCCGGGCTCTGGCAGTCTAAGGGCCACTGATGTCATCAAATCTAATGCAGGTCCATTAACCTGTATTAGAGGTGAGGACGCCGAGAGACATATCACAGCAACGAACGGAGGGGGAGAGAAGTGAACGCTGACTCCCGCAGGACCGAGGATCAGGTGAATATAATCTTCTGTATTGCCCTAGACCAAAACAAACAGTTAACCCCTGCAGTGCGGGGGGTAGCCCCACTGCAAGGGTTAATTTTGTTAACTGGAGTTCCTCTTTAAACTCAAGGAACTGAACGGGCATTTTTAAACGCCCCGTCAGCCGCGAGCGAGCGGAAAAGTGCCAAAATGTAAAAACAGGCAGGGATGCCTATTTACATACAAGCGATCCACCGATATAGAGCCGGTGGATCGGTTGTATAACATGCCGGTATGTGTGTGTCGTCCCCCCCCCTTCCGCTGGTCCCGGGACCAGCATAGTGGCTCTGTGACAGGGGCTCAGATGGAGATTGGTACACGATCTCTTCTCCGGTCCCCTTTCCGGTGTCGGAATATGGAAGTGATGTATATTACATTACTTCCACATTCTTGTGTCACTCTCCACCTTCAGAAGCTGGAGAGAAGCTGATGAAGCAGATCTCTGCTTCATCAGCTTCTTTGGGGGTCCCTAGGTGACATTAGGGGTCTTGGAGACCCTTGATGTCTCCATAAAGAGGACCTGTCACATCCTCTTTGCTATCACATAGGGGGGTTTCTTAGCCCCAATAACAATAAAAGTTAAGTGGAAAAAAAATAGGGAAAAAAAATTAATGTTGCAAAAAAAGTTACACATGAAAAAGAATAAAAAATAAAAAAAAGCATAACATTTTTTTTCCAAGTCCCCACCCATACATACACACATGCAAACGACGATTGCGCCCATTACGCCGCACATGTTACATATCGCCGCGAATGTCACAGTGAGAGCAATAATTCTAGGGCCATCAATCACTGATAACACTAAACTGATGAGCGGTAAAAGCGTTTAAAGCGTCTCTTATGGTCAATTTTGGGTATGGTAGTCTTGTTTTTTGCGATTTCGCACAATTTTAAAGCTTGACATGTTTGGTGTCTATTTACCCGACATGACCCCGTCTTTTATATTGTACCAAAAAAATTGGCTAAAAATAAATTATAACAAATTGTTTTTAAAAAACTTTTCTCCAAAACTTTCAGTAATTTTTCCCTAATATAGTAAAAAATAAAAACCTCAGTGGTGATTAAATACCACCAAAAGAAAGCTCTATCTGTCCCCCACAAATGGTATAAAATTCATTTCAGTACAGCGTTGCATGACGGAATAAACGTCAATCAAAGTAGCGCAGCGCTGAATACTGAAAAATGGCCTGGCCAGGAAGGGGGTCTAAACACCCCAGTCAGCAAGTGGTTAAGTATCCTTCAGTGCTACCACAATGGACGCAAAGTTTGCTTCGAGCGCATTATTTGAGAGATTGCAAGGAACTGCTCTGTGCACATACAAGCTACGCCGAGACACTCTCAGAAGGTATGCCATGCTGTCAACATCGTCCTCCCAAGCGACAGCCTCTCACTACACTGGCAATGCTGTTGTAAAGTGACTTTTCTACTGCAATAGTGTATACAGAACCCAATGCGGGAGATCTAAAGGGATGTACTGGAGCTGCAGACTCCAGTATCTATCACACGCTGCAGCAGGGCTCAGACAATGCTGCTGGAAGGAACGTACTTTTACGCTCAAAGACTGGTTTAAATGACACCCCAACATGATATTTATATAGAGATCAACCCAGATATGCTAAAGGGGATAATCATTGTATCTTACACATAGATAACACGCACTAAAACACATACTAAGCACACACAATACACCTGCTGCTGCAGCAATCTACAAATACCAAGAGCATAGTCACACAAAATATCACTGAAAGCATTGCTAAAAGACATAACCTGGCTCGTCGGTGGCCAACAGTTGAAGTCTAGGGGGTGATATCCCAACCTGGTACAATAGTATCCATATGGTGTTTGTAGGATATCCCCTTGTGTGGATCAGGTCTGGTGTTCCCGTATTCTCCCTCCTTTCCTATATCTGACCACCAAGAGTCAATGTCCCGACTACATTCATTCAATCACACACATATACAAGGGGTCTAGGTCCTAGACCCTTGTGTACGTGTGTGATTGAATGAATGTAGTCGGGACATTGGTCTTTAAGATCCTCTGGAAGCAGAAACCGATATGAAGGTTTCTACGCACTGCAGAAAATGTCAGCGCCGTCTCTACATGGGGGAAATAAATGATGAAAAGTTAGCCAAGCTCACATCCTATCCTGAGCCCAGTGCTGGAAGTAACAAGTGCTGTCACACCAAATGACGGGCGTTGCTCTGCCCTGCAGGTGGGACTAACACTGGGTGAGGCACTGATACCCATATGCCCAGGGCAGAGAAACTTTCCCCCAGGGTCTGAAAGCTACAATAAACGCAGGCGGCCACAGCAGGACACTTACCCTTAGCATCTCTCTGAGCTCCGGACACCATAGAGAACCCAGGAGGAGAAGAACACACTGGCTGCACGGGGAGGATTACTAGGACTGTTTCATGGGAAGTTTCAGGCCCTCTCACTGCCCCAACCAGTTTCATGACGTTACTTCTCTGCTCCTCCCCGACCCATGGGAGGGAGGTGGAGGAGGGGAGGAGAAGGCAGGATTACAATACACTCACATGTTAGAAGACAGCGCTGTGATGAACATCTATTAGTTCAGCCAGGAGGGGTATCAGTCCAATGACATCCGTCTGCAAAAGAGTTTCATCTGGAATTTGGAGAACAGCATTGTTATTTGTGTGTGTGGGGGGGGGGGGGGAGGGATTTTCCAGCCA